CTTTGGCCTTTGGCTCAGCCCTGGCTGCTGTAAATAGGAACTCCTTCTCCCAAATAAATAAATCAGCAAATCGAACAAAAGACTTAGGGAGAAGATCCTCTTTTCTTGGCAACCACAGTCTAGTTAGATACCTTAACATTTGTCCAGATTATCACCTGATATTTTTCATCCTAGAAAAATTACCCGATTAATTTCTTGTGACTTCCTACTGCTTGTCACTTTAAGATAAAAACTAATTCAACATCATCATTCAGCAGAGTTCTTCCAGGTGGTCCCCAGAGCTTGCTGCCCTGCGGCCCAAAGAAGACACCAATGGAAAAGCTATGGTGTAACAAGTGCGCATGCTCTGTAAGGGAAGGGTGGTTATGGAAGATAGATGTATCATGTGGTCTTTATCCATCATCACCTATCGAATTTTCATACAGCTGGGCCCCTGGTCGGATCATATATATGTTAAGTTTATGTGTGTTGACAGGACAAAGAGATGAAGGGCTGGTCAGAAAAACTTCTCAGCTGAAACCTTCTTTGCAATTTCCCAACTGAACCTGAGCTAATAGATTCTAATCCTTAATTCATCTAATTAATTAAATGAAGAAATTAACATCATCCAAGCATAAACAGAATAACAATAAAACAGACTTTCACGAGCTAATGATTATTAGGCAAGACATGTTTGTAGATTCTGATTTGGAGGGAAGTAACGCTGGACAAGCGGGAAAAGCCATCCCCCATCCCGTTTTTCAGGCCGTTCTCTTTTTTTGGTATTACCTTTTAAGCTATTGAATTGTCAAATAAAGATTGAATATACTCAAGGTACATAATGTGATTTGATATATGCATACATTCTGTGATGATTACTGTAAGTTAACCTCTCAATCATCAACCATCCCCAGAGCTTGCTCATCTTACGACTGAGTCTCCTCCCCTTGACCAACCATCACCCGCCCATCCCCGTGTCCTCCACTTCCTTTTCCCGAGGACAGCCCTGCTACACCTGCTTCCTGCGGGTTCAGCTTCTTTGGATTGCACATATAACTGACATCATGCAGGGTGTGTCTGTGCGACTGCAACTCTGATTTTATTTTACAAATGACAAAAGCCTTGATGGGGGCCAAACTGCAGTTCCTGGCAGGTCTTTTCTGGAAGCCGAGGAAGTGCATACAAGACCCACTCAATGTCCTCACTTTCCTGAGACCTGTTGGAAGCCTCCTGGAACTCACGAAAGCTACAAAAGCTATAAATCTTTGTTTCCTAGGAGGCTCTGGTCCTTGGCAGGGAGAGAGACAGGCTGTCCAGGCCATTACTCTGCCCCTTTCATTCCTGACTGCCAAGCAGTTGGAATTCACTCTTCTAAATTGGAGGAAGTTCCCCCTTAACTGTATGTTTTAGAATAACTTACATATATAAAATGCATAACAGCCTACATAAGGCACATTGTACATACCCTGAGCTACAATATGGATATGTTCTGCTAAACACAACCTCAGTTGAAACCATTAGTAAGTTAAAAAAAAAATAGGCATTGACTCCACCTATCCACTGCACATTCTTGCTGAGAACCAGGGCAGCCTACAGAGTGTTGTTTGTTCCCCTCACAGCTGCAGGGCTGAGCGAGCTACAGCTGTTGCTGCATGGCACAGCCAGGGGGGGCTGGACTACAAAGGACCCAACCTAGAAAAAGACCGAATTCGAAAGCTGAACCCCAGGTTTTCCCCCAACTGCACATTGCAAACTGTAGACTGGATACCCATGAGTTGATAGCATGGCAATCGAAGTGGCTGTTCACATCTATTGCGCTGTAACTAATCTTGGAATATCCTACCTCCCATCACTCACAGAGCCACAGCACTCCTCAGACATCTTGCTCTCCCTCTCGTTTTCTCCTGTTTGCAGCCCTGATGGTGTCTGCTTGAGTGAGTACCTGCTGGTAGACAAATCCTCCCACCATTGGAGGAGTGCTGCAGCTTTGTAGAGGGATCTAGGTTCAGTGGCCTGTTTCCCAGGGCAGGTGTGCATGGATTCTGGGATCAACATGTCCCAGCATCGCTGATGTTAGGATATGTCAATCAGGGAAATCTGAGACATTAAGGAGAGGTATTGTGGGATTTCATATCTACCAACAGCAAAAATGACATCAAAAACAAAACATGGAGAATATTTCATGACAAAGGAAACATTGTTTTTCTGGGTTTTGTCACGACCCGATAGAGAAGTGGGTCAGCTGAAGTGTTCCCACTTGACCAGGGTAAACAGCTGGGGAGTGGGGAAGGATCTTAGGCAGGTTGTACTTCACAGCACACAGTAGCCTTGGTTATCTCCCTAAAGAACACGTTGTTTGATTCTTGTGCTTCTCACGCTGCTCATAAAGACAACAGAATGACAACAGAATGTCTGAGATGAGATGCAGCCCCTTGACTTTCTGAGGCATCACCTCTTTTCACGAGGTAGCTAGCAAGTTCCTTGTGGTGAAAGGACTCATCCAGGTGCCTGCTCTGGCAGGGGGGAAATCTCATACTGCAGCTGCCACACCAGTTCAGTGTAGCCGTGTGCTTGGTGGGAGAGCATTTTGAGTTTTGAATTCCTAATTTGGACTAAAGGTGTCTGAAGCAACGTGCCATTTTTGCCTACGAGGGACTAGAAGGTTTTTATTGTAGAGTTTTTGAGCAGATGTATTAGAGGTTGCTAGTTCTTTGTGGCATGCATTTGGGATGGAAGGATACAAATGAGTAGTAAAGGCAAGTTACTCTATATTGCACATGGAGGGAGACAGACTGCAGATTCTTCCTTCATCAACCCTCAGTCCTTTCCTGTAATACTAAGAACTATATTTTACTCACCCAGTGTTGTGTGAGGCTCCTACTTCCAACACTCCCAGTAAACTCCATCACAAGGAGGAAATGATTATAGATAGCCTGGACTTACGAAGGCTGTCTTGAAATATTTTCAATGTTATGATGACACAAATACTGTCAGCAATATCACACTTGAAATTGTACACATTGGGGCAGAGTCCAGGTGAGTCTGAGCAGTGGTGTGAGTGTCCGGATCCCCCAGCCTTGTGGCTGTGGCTGGGCGTACCTGTGCCAGCCCAGGCTTCCTGCTGGGAATCCTAACTCTCCATGCAATGTTGTTAGGCAGGGGGAGGGTCCTGGGCTTGTGCATGGCCAGAACATGAATTGGCACTGGGCTTCGCCTGCTGCTGGCCTGGCAGTGAGCTCTAGGATCTTGGGGGTATGGAATTACTGCCTAGGGACACCCATGAATAAGGCTACTATATGTGTAGGTGAGGGATGAATCCTGAGGGACACCCAACACTAGGGCTTCTGTACTTGCAGGTAAGCAAGGGGACTGAGACCTGGTGGTTTGGAGGGGAGAGAATGGAAGATTTTTATGGGTCAGACTGATGCACCACATGGGAGTGCTGGGTTGGGCTTGTTAGCTTGGAATATGGCTAACCAACACCCGCCAGCACACATGCAAGCTATGGTTGGGGGCCTGTCTGGCAGGATTAGATCCCAGTGCCTGGCAGTGAGTGTTGAATCAAGGTATAAGTCACATTAGACTTGGCCATGATACCAATCAGCATGCAAGAGAACAAGGTCTGGGGTTGGATTCTGTGGGGGATATGTGGGCCAAAACCTATGAAACTACAAGTCCCACTGGTTAGTTTAAGCGTTGGGATGGTGATGGGCTGAGCTTGGTGTGATCATGGAACTCACTGATACTCACTGGTACTGGGGCTGGGAACAAGTGGGGCAGGTCCAGGCTGTAGCACCTGCATGAGCACCCTAAAACAGGATTTGGGGTGGGCTGCACCAACTCATACAAGGTCAGGACAAATAGATGTGGCAAGCCATGCTGGGTAAGGGCCAAACACCTGCTAGCATATGTGAGATCTGAGTGTGGGAGTGACCTGAGTGAGGGAACCTGTGAAACTCCCCTAGTGGGTCATAGCTCCCATTGATGAGCACGTGGTCCAGGCCTGGGTGTTGGGCAGGCTGGGCAAGGTAGCTCCATCCATTGACAAATATGTGAGTTGATTTTAGAAGGGGGAAGACCAAGTAGGGCTGAGCAAACCATAGCCCACTGGCAAGTGTAGAAACCAGGATGGAGTGCAGGTCATGCCGGGCTAGGCTGCCACACCTACTAGTTTGCATGAGCCAGGGCCAGGTTGCAGCACCCACCAGTGAGAGTTGAGACTGGGGCTGGCTGGGCCAGGCCAGGCTGCAGCATCCGAAGGCAAAGGCCAAGACAGGGCAGGGGCTATGCCAAGCTAGGTCAGAGCAACCACTGGCAAGCATGAGATCTGTGGCTGGGATCAGGCCTGCTTGGGGAGTAAAGGGGATGCCCTGGCTGGGTTGTTGGTAAGTGCAGGAGCCAGAGTGGAAGATATGGTCTGGTCTGGACATGGATGCAGTCTCCCTCAGCATGATGTGAACTGGGGCTGGGGTATGCAAGACTGGGCACCCACTGAAGCTTGTGAGAACCAGGATGGGTGTAGGATGGGCTAGGCTAGGTCTCTGTCTAGCAATCAGCATGGCTGTTACTCACCTTCAGTATACTCTACATGAAGTTAGATGAGATAGTCAATACTTTTTCTAATCTATACATTATGTTAAGTGACCTACACAAATGTAGGCTAGTGTAAGCATTCTGAGAATGTTTAAGGCAAGGAACACTGAACTATGATTTTTGGCAAGGGTGTTGCATGCATTTTCGGCTCAAGATATTTTCAATGTGTAATGCATATAAATGGCTTGATCAGGACATAACCTCATTTGTAGTTTACAGGTGAGAAAATGGAGGCTGACAATGGTTAAGTAGCTTGCTTTAAACTACACCGCTTGGTGAGCAGAATTCTAATTTACTCGATTCAAAGGGTGAAGACAGCAGTGTGCATATCAAAGTCCTGCTGAGGCCATGTGACCCATGGGGGCGCCCAGCCCTGGCTTTCTACCTCAAACACCTCTAGGATCTGTGCAGATGAAATCCTTGCCTACCTGCAAAACTCCGCTTCGGATTCTGGCAGTGTCAGCGAGGCCATAGGGTTCTTCACCAAGTTGGCCACCACAGGGTCCTTGGCTGTCATGTAGAAGAAAGGAATTCCAGTACTGTTGTTGAAGGGGCCGTCACTGATGAGCAGGCAGTTTCCAAAGGGCAGTCCTTGGATCTAACAAACACCAAGAAGGGTCATCTGGTTAAGGAGTCATGCAGTGACTAGAGCTGGGGGCTCAGGTTGTGTGTCTAGACAGGGAACACAGCATGGGGGACTTGGGGAGGGCACCTGGGCATCACAATCATGGCAAGGTTGTTTCCTACCTGCCCTCAATGGGCACTGACAGTTCTCTATGGGGGACGCTTTGCAGCGGCATCCTGCCTGGAAGGGATCGGGCAAATCTTATTGTTGAAGTCCCTTCTGTGCATCCAGTCTACTCACTTGAACGGATTTCAAAGTAATTGAGGGAGAGTGTCAAACCTTTCACAGAAGCTGCCCGAGAGCCCCACTGCCTTCAACGTTTTATCTTATTTTATTTAAAGATTTACTTATTTATTTGAAAGGCAGAGTTATACACCCACAGAGGAGGTACACACAGAAAGAGAGAGAGGAGACTAATAGTGAGATCTTCCATTCCCTGGCTTACTCCCCGAATGATCATAATAGCCCCTGGGATTTGGGCTGGGTCAAACCGAAGCCGGGAATCAGTTGCTTTGTCTGCGTCTCCCACATGGGTGCACATCCTTCTTGGTCTCCCTGGGCACATTAGCAGGGAGCTGGATAGAAAGCAGCATAGTTGGGATAGAAACCAATGCCCATGAGGGAAGCTGGCATCCCAGACAGCTGCTTAATCTGTTGTGTTACAATGCTGGCCCCTCCCCCATGGTTTTGATAGAATTTAAGTCTTAAATTCAGTGTCACGCTTGTGTTAGTGTGGTGGAGTGCAGTCAGCTAATGGCACCCCGAGGCAGTGAGCAGATGTGATATTTTGAACGAGGATGGGAGGGGGTCGGTGCCTTAGCATTGTGCTGGGTTTCAAGTGTGGCTAGCCACAGCAATTTCCCTTTGTATTGATTGACCTAAAATGTGAGTTGATTGGCTTGTAATATGCACCACCTGAGTTGATTGAAGTTCCTGGCTGCTGCATGTCAATGAGAACTTAAAAGCCTCGGACTTTGGCCACGCGGGATGGTGGTTCCTGCAGTGTAGCAGGAGCTGCCATCACCCGCTAGGATACAAAACCTCCTTACACCCCACACCTACACTTAGTGTCCCTGCAACGCTGGGGGGTTGGACATCGAGCAAGTGGGACTTGAATCAGTGCGATTATGGGATGTCAGCTTTGCAGGCAATGGCTTTGCCCACTATGCCCCATTTACAGTGTGCATAATGGCGTGTAGAATTGTAAAGCGACATCCGCAATCTTCTAAGAACATGAGATGTTAAGGATTCCTCCAAAATGAATGTCACTTCATCCACAAATTGTTTTGCATACATGCAAATGCTGTCTGAGTTTGGTGAGCTTGAACTAGACCACAGTACTGGAAAAGGAAAATCATATATATATATATCTCATATATATATGGTTGCTTTCAAATTTCTTATTTTCACAATATAGTTCTTTAGGCTCAGGGATTTCCTCCCCTTCTGCATCTATTCCTCCTCACCCGGGTTTCTCCCCATATTATTACAATTGTATAGTCCTTCAGCAACAGTCAGCTGTTCAAGTGTATACTGATATTGTGGTTACAGATTGCACAGTCCAGCATGCTATTGTCAAAACATATTTAAGTTTCATTGGAGATCCACCTTTTATTCAGAAATAGAGATACCTACTGCACTGATTCTCATCAGAACTAGGTAAATAGTGCTGACAGTTAAAATATACTTAAAATATTGGCACTAGACTTTCGATTGTTGGAAAAGTTTTGTTTTACAGATCAAATTCACTTTAAAACTCTCTTAAGGTATGCCTTTGAACTCTAAGTTCTAACCATGGGAAGCCCCTCGATGCTGTGAATACTCAACCCAGATCCAGCTGGCTCTGAATTATCCACTAAAGGGGTTAACATTATCGCCACAATAATATTGCCATGCAGGTAACCTCACAAGCCAAAAGGACCATCAGTGCAAAGTGTAAGAGCCAGTGATTGGTCACCGTCTGGGTCTGGTAAGACACAGAGCTGGGGCAAGAACCTGGCCCGAGGCCTGAAGCCCCTGCATGCTAAACATATTAAATCTTCTCTGCACAAAGGAGGTAGCAGTCCAAATGACCGCTCTGCAATCATACCCTTGGAACCAGCTCATCAGCTCCTAGAAGCCTTGTGGAGGCTTACACTCCAGAAGGTGCCCCCTTGCTTCCGGATAGAATCGCGTCTAACAGGTAGGTGAACCAAACACCTGTGAACTGAACATTGAAAATCGCTGTGGATCCCAGCTCCTTCCACAGCTGTTATCTTGCCTTCCGGAAAAATTCTCGAGTTTCTTTCTTTTTTTTTAAGCCGTAATTTTCCATCCAAGCCCAGGTTGGTGTTTTGCTGCCTCGGTGGTGTGTCTGAGGCAGCAGGGCACGCTTGGGGCTGTGGGTTGTGCTGTGAGCACGTGCCTGCTCTGCGACTCCCTGACCAGACACTGGCTATTGGCGTGTCACTCTGGCGTCTTTAGACCGATTCGGTCCCCAGCTGCTTGGCAGGAAGCCTGGGTTTCAATGTTCCCGCTTCCGCCCCGACACACACGCTTTGCCAGGCCAACGGCAGGACAACCAGTTCCATTGTTCATGCGATGTCCGTGGCCCGGTGCAGCCCACGGGGTGCGTCTGCTTGTCTGGTTCTCAGTACGTGAGCTGTCACCAGCTCCTCCCTGCGCCCTGGGCGCGCCGCCTGACTGTCGCCGCGAGAGACTGCACCTGCAGTTCGCGCCCGGCCCGCGCGGCTTACCTGTTCATGGGCAGACACAGTGGCCAGACATCCCCAGGCGCTGGCGTGGGCCAGGGAGCGGGCGGTGCTGGCGCGCAGCCTCGGGTCAGGGGCTGCGCCGGTCGCTGGGCCCCTCTCCCGGCGGTAGGAAAACATTCCCGGCGGCGCAGGGGGCGGCCTGGTCCGGGAGGCTCCCGCCCGGGGCCGCAGGTGCGCGTCTTCCTTGTGCGCCGAGGCCGGGAAGCTCTGTTGCCAAATGCTGCCTGAATCTTCCAGCAGCGCGGGCAGCGCTTCCTCGGTGGAGGCGCTGTCCAGCTCCTCGTCCACCTCGTTGGTGACGGCCCAGGAAACCGAACTCACAATCACGTAGCCAGCAGCCGGGGTCAGTAGGGCGCTGCAGCACAGCAGCCAAGTGAGCCGGGTCCCGGGCCGAGCCGGGCGTTGGCGGTGGCACACCGACATCTTTGCCGGAGCGGCGCGCCCTGCCGCGGGGACCGCCAGCAGCGAGCCAGCGGCCGGCAAGGGCGGCAGCGCCCCCCTACGGCGGAGGCGCGGAGCCTGAGCACCCCCAACCCTCTTTCCCACCACTTCCCTGGGAGCCCCCGCAGGATTCCTGGATGAAGTCCCGGGATGCCCACGCAGGTGCACTTCCCGCTGGAGAGTCGCGGCCCCTGGAAAACCCGGAGCTCACAGAGGCGCGGCACAGACTGTCGCCGCGGTGCGCAGAGCCCGCGTGGCGTGCCAGCTGCGGGGCTGGCTTTGCGTTTTGCAGGAGCGCACGGATTCCGCAGCCGGGGGTTCCGCATGTGAACCTGCCAGGGCACGTAGCATCTCTCCGTGCCCCATTTCCTCAGCGGCATCTGCCTTTTCTTAGGCGCAAAGGATGGTACGGGATTTCAGGTTTGAAGGGCTCAGGAACCCAAATCTTTGTTCGGGTCATCAGAACCGAAGGGCTTGTGAATATCTTATATGGGGAGACAATTGGGTGAAGAAGGGTGGTGGTGCTGGTGGGGTTCGTGATACCAATTCCTGTTTTTCTCCTGAACTTTGCTGGGTCTGGATGACATTGGCACTTGTGTCTCGGAAAGCGCAATCAAATCTCTTCCATTTGAACTTAAATAATAAAAACCCATGGCAGACGTGGCAGAACGTGTGCACGGTGTTAAAGCCTTCTGTTACTGGTGGAGCTAGCGGAGTGTAACAGACGTCAAGGTATTTTGCAATGAATCATGCTTTCTTGTCTCCTCATATGGCGTCCACGGCTTAATCCGCTTGCAGACATTTTTCTGCCCCGGTTTTTCTACCCGAAACCTGATAGTCCTGCTGTCATTTGTTCAGGGTGTAAACAGCCTGAAGTTACACTATGTGTCTGAAGCAAGTTTTTTGGCATTTTTCCCCCAAAGGAACCAGAAGACCCAATACATGTATTAGATTTATTTTTATTTCAAAGGGATAGTTACACAGAGAGAGGAAAAGATACAGAGCCCACCCAAAGCAAGAGCCAGGAGCTTCTTCCAGATTTCCCATGTGGGCGAAGAGCCCCGAGCAATTGGGCCCTGCTCCACTGCTTTTCCAGGTCATAAGTGGGGAGCTGATTCAGGAGCGGAGCAGTGAGGACTCAAACTGGTACTCATAGGGAATGCTGGCACCATGGACAGAAGGTTAGCCTACTACACAACAGTGCCAGCCCCTAGAAGTGTATGTTTTAATGTAACCCCTTATACCTTGTCTATCCTTGATCCTAATCTTGAATAAGTGTAATACTCCCATAAAACACAATGTCTGCTTCATGGAGGAAGAGCAGTGTGTTAGGAGAAGCATATCTATATCTATATCTATAAATTTAAGAATTATTTATTTTTATGGGAAAGTCGGATAAACAGAGAGGAGGAGAGATGGATTTTCCATCTGTCTCTGGTTCACCCCGCAAGTGGCCACAATGGCCAGAGCTGCGCTGATCCAAAGCCATGAGCTTCCTCTGTGTTTCCCATGTGGGTGCAGGGTCCCAAGGCTTTGGGCCATCCTTGACTGCTTTCCTAGGCCACAAGTAGGAAGTTGGGTGGGAAATGGGGCCACGGGAACACTGATCGGTGCCCATATGGGATCCTGGCATATTCAAGGAGAGGGCTTTAGCTGCTAGGCTACTGTGCCAGATCCAAGATGAAGATTTAGCCACTAAGCTATTGTGCCTGACCCAGGAGAAGATATTCTTAGGGAAGATCTGAAAGTGTCTCCTCCACAAGGTGTATTTTACTTGGTAAGTCTTTTGGTTGCATCACTCGATACTATTTCCACTTGCTTGTCACAGAGGCAGGTATCAGAAAAGTGGTTCCAGATGCCATTGCCCCTTCTGAGATGTCACAGTTGTAGTTTTTTTTTTGGCCACCACCGTGAAAGTGTGTAGCTTGGGCAGCAGATTGCAATCAGCTGATGTTGTATCATTGCCATCAAGAGACTGACATATAGAAAGCTCAGTGTTCTCCAGGCACTTCTCATCAGCTGTGTCAGAGAGAGGTGAACTGAGGCAGTCATGCGGTTTTTGCAGCATCTTCAAGCCTTCCCTCCCTAGGAAGTACTTCATTAACCTCTGGCTTTGAGTTCTTGATACATGCCAGGAATTCCATTGGTGTTCAACTCGGAGAAAGCATCAGGTACTTTTGGCAGGACACAACACTGCTTCAAGAAACTTCTGCATATTATTTACACCTGTTGCACACCATCACTAAAAGTTAGAAATGTTGGGTTGGTCCCAGAAAACAAGATCTGTTGGCTTCCTTTCCAGGTCAACACTGTGGCACTAAATGCAACTCCTTTGAGCCAAAAAGGAGTAAACTCTGGGTAAATGGGCAGTGGGTACAGCTGAGTGAATGGGTGTTGTCCTTGGCTTTCACAGTCACTGCCGGCTGGGACCAAGAGAGCTCTATGCCACTGTAGACTCCGCTGCGGCTCTGCAGCCGGCCCGGGGTTGCTGCTGCTTCGGCTCCGGGGTGCTCTGGCTGTGGATTCCGCTCCTTAGCACTGCCCCACATCCCCCAAATGACCATGCTTTCTTTTTCACAGAGCAGAGGGGTGCCCAATGCAAAACCCAGAAAGGGAAAGCTACCTGGAATCTTCCAGGCTTTGGGCTGTGTGCTCATCCTGGGTCCCCCGGGGGAGGTGGGATGACTCCTCTGATGGGTGAGGTTGCAGGAGACGGGCTCAGCATGCTCATCTCAGCTGTGCAGGGCAATTCTTTCCTTTCCCTTCTTGCCCTCTTTTCTTTTTTTGTCAAATACTTTTCCTATACTGAGATCATGTGATTGTTAATCCTTCATTTTACTAATGTGGAAAATTATATGGATTGATTCTCATATGTTGAACCAGAGTTTGCATTCCATGGATAAAATCCCCACTTGGCAATCATGTACGGTATTTTTGGATGTGTTGTTAAATTTGATTTCTTAGTATTTTGTTGAAGATTTTGTTAATCAGGGATATTGGTCTGTGGTTTTCTTCTATTATTTTTGTCTTGGTTTGGTATCTGAGATACCAAATACAAATATGATGAGATCTGAAGTATAATTTTTTTTTGAAGTGATTTGAGAAGGGTTGTTATTAGTTGTTTAAATGTTTGGGAGAACTCACCAGTGAAGTCAACTAGTCCTGGGCTCTTCTTTGTTGAGAGGTCTTCAATTATTACTTCCATTCCTATTAAAAATTGGCCTATTAGGCTTTCTTTACTTATTTATTGGGCTTTTCTTGACACAGTCTTGGTAGATTATGCTTCTGGAACTTTATCCTTATCCGCTAGCTTCTCTGTTTTGTTGGCAATGGGCTCCTATGATCCTTTTGTTTCTAAGGCATCCATTAAAATATTTTCTTTCTCATTGCTGATTTTTTTCATTTGAGTCTTCTCTTTCTTAATCTAGCTACAGATATGTCAATTTAAAAAATCAACTTAGTTTTGTACATTTTTAAATTAGCTGCATTGTTGGATTTTGTTTAATTTCTATTATTTCCTTAATTCATGTCTTTTGTTTTGTTTTAAAAGATCCATTTAGGGTCTGTCTTAATGGGAAGGGAGACATAAGAAAATGGTCTTTAATGCACCATTTCAGAGAGGGGACCTCACTCCCAGTGGGCAGCCTGGTGCCTGGTCAACGGGTATGATGGTGGCATCCTCCTCCCATTCTCATGATAAGTTGAAATCTCAGGGCCCATCTCTTTGCTTCCTCATGATAAAAGATGCAAGGCGACACTTTGATCTACTCAAAGATCAGTGGGGCTTCATGACCCTTTTAAAATTTCATGGTGTACACTAGCAGAAAGGTCTGTGGACCCTCCCTTACTCATATGCAGGCTCTGGGCAAACGGGCAGGGTCCCAGGCCAGCATGCCACACCACCAGAAGACCAGGCTCAGGGAACTGCACACTGCTGAGCAATGGGGACTGTGGATTGCTCAGAGAAAGAAGGGTATGGGGATGTGAGGGAGAAAGAAGTAGTTTGAAGGAGAGAAGCTGGAGGACCTTTCTGGGTCAGACAAATGCACCCACCCACTTGAGAGACTGGACTAGAGTAGTTAGCAGCTTCCATCACCTGCTGGTACACACAAAAGTTGGGGCTGGGGGTCTACCTAGCAAGGCTAGACTACAGTACCTACCAGTGAGTGTTGTGGGGTGGGCATTGTTTGGCTGGGCCATGACACTAACTGGCACATGAGAGAACCAGTTCTGAGAGTCAGATTCTGTGGGGAATTTACAGGTTCAGCTGGTTTGCTTAAGAGCTGGGAGTGGTGATAGGCCAAGCTAGGCATGACCATGGAACTCACTGATACTTATGAAAATTGTGGTTAGGGACAGGCCGGACTGGTCCAGGCTGCAGTACCTGCAGATGCACCTAAGAGTTGGACCTAAGGATTTTTTTTTTCAACTTTGGAGCAATGAAACCAACAGCATCTCAGAACTATCAAAACCACTCAAACAATGCCCTCGGAACATTCTTCTCCACATTGGGGTTTCTAAGAATACATCAAGCGGTCATCTCCCTTCTCCAAGTACTGATTTGGTTTGGCAGCTGGAACAACCTCCTCCTCCTCCTTTGTCCCACTCACCTCCCCCCATATTTTGACACTTCTCAACCTAATCAGTGGTCCTCATCGGTGTGTATTCTTGTCAACTCTATAAACAAGCTGAGCTAGCACATTTTCACTTATATTCTCTCCTTCCCCACCCCAGTGGGAGAAGGGAGAAAACCCTAATTCCTTGTTTGCTACTTTGAAAGAACTTGTGTGGTTCCACAGTCCCTAGGGATCCCGGATTCTGCAGTACCACAGACAGACATCAGGGGGAGCAAGAGGTGTTATGCTCCAAAGTCCATAGTACCGACTGGGCTGCTAGGTGGAGCCCCTATTTTAGACGTTCCAACTGGACTACTGGATTCAAAACTCCAGCCACAGGGAATGTTGCTGCCTGGCCCACTCCACACCCAACTCTTAGGTCCCAAGGCTTTGGGCCATCCTCGACTGCTTTCCCAGGCCACAAGCAGGGAGCTGGATGGGAAGTGGGGCCGCTGGTACAAGAACCAGATACCATATAGGATCCCGGCATGTGTAAGGTGAGGACTTCAGCCATTAGGCACCGTGCCAGGCCCTAAGATACATTTTCATGCATGGCATATTGCTACAGTTTGGATATGATTTGGCACCCTCCTGCAGACATCTAAGCCCTGAAGACCTAAGCTGATGGCACTATGAGGTTGGAAACATCCATTCGGTTACGGAGGCTAGAAGGTCACCCTGGTGAGATCCTTGGGGCATGGAGGGTATGCCCTTGAAGATTGTTCACAGATGGGAGTTGGTTGTAAACACCAACTCAGGCCCAGCCTTTCTGCCTCCCGGGACCCCACACGATCCTTCCTCTACAGGTGCTGTGTTGCTGCCGTCTGCTGCCCTCCCAGAGCCCAGACAGATGAGGCTCCTCGACCTGAGACTTGAACCTCCCAAACTGACAGAACTAAAAAACCATTTTTCTTTTTAAGGAGTCGGTTGCCTTAGGTGTTTCATGACATCAACACTAAGCTAAGCAGTACATACGTGCAGAAAAGTGACCAAATCAAGTCACAAGGATGGTGGCAGTTATCTCACATGACAGAGACACCTATCCCAGACCAAGAACCAGAATCCTAGCATAAATCTGATGCATTGGCTGTCTCAGTAAGTTGTCTGAAACCCAGTTTTACCCTGTCACCTTTGGGCCAGGTTAAAATGTCCTCTCCTTATGTGGATGCTTGTGCCAGCGCCTGCTGGTACGTCATGCCACTCTGATTTAAACCTGTAGTTGCTGACCATGACAGAAGCTAAAGGTCTACACGACAGTTACAAACACACACACTCCTCCTTCTCACATATCTCCTCTCTAAATCAGCCAGTCCACAACCATGCGGAGAAGCCTGTGGAGCAATGCCCAGTGGTCTCTGGAGTTCTCCTTTTGATTGTGTCACTCCTGAAACATCCCAATCTGACTCTCATCTCCAATCACGCCGTCAGAGCTCTACTCAGAGAGTGACACGGGCTACTCTGGGCCTATTCTGCCAGAACAAACCATGACAATGGGAATGCTTATCAGTAGCCTCTCTCTCTCCTTTCTGTTCCTACCCACTCTTGCCCCCTGAAACTCCCATCCTACCCCTACAGATAAAACAATAAAACTGCTTCTATGTTACACCGGGACATTCAAGGACGAACTGCTAGAATAACCTCTGGCAGCTCTCAGCTCATCAGTTTACTCCAAAAATCTAAACAAAAATCCCTGTTCTGAGACTGACAAATCTTATTGTTCCTGTGCCCTGTGACCCAGTTCTGCAGCCATTTATGTACAAGTGAGCAAGAAATGGCAGGCAAAGTTACTGAGCGGTGAGCCCGAGGAGAAATGTGTGAGTTGCTTTTTGATAAGGAATACCTGTGGGTCTGGCATGATGGCTCAACAGCTAAATCCTCACTTTGCAAGCGCTGGGATCACATGTGGGTGCTGATTCGTGTCCTGGCTGTCCCATTTCCCATCTAGCTCCCTGCTTGTGGTCTGGGAAAGCAGTCAAGGACGGCCCAAAGTCTTGGGACCTTGTACCCATGAGAGAAACTGAGAGGAAGCTTCTGGATTTGGATTGGCTCAGCTTCAGCTGTTGCAGTCGTTTGGGGAGTGAACCAGCAGATGGAAAATCTGTCTGCCCTTCTCTCTGTAAATCTGATCTACCTTTCCAACGAAAATAAACAAATCTTTAAAAGAAGAATATGTGCTCCCTGGGAGCTTAAGAAATGAGATAACATGTGGGCTCTTGAAAGACTTAGTGGAAAATGCCTATAATGAACATACTGTACATGGATCTCAAACTTCTTTTGAGCTTTTCTTAGAGGCAGCGCTTGACCTACTGGATAAGAGGCACGTGTCCCGTATCATCATGCCTGGCTTTGATACTTGCTCCTGACTCCAGCTTCCTGCTGGTGCAGATTCTGGGAGCCAGCAGGCGATGGCTCAAGTGTTTGCGTGCCTGCCACCTGTATGGGAAACCTGCATTGAGTTTGCAGCTTCCAGCTTTGGCCTGTGTCTGCACTGGCAGGTGTAGCATGCAGAGAGTAAACGAGTGAGTGTGAACTCTGTGTCTTTGCTCTCTCTGCTTCTCAAATAAATAAATATTCTTTGGCGGAGAAGGGGGATTTTTTAAAAAAATATATGCTTCTTTTAAAATTTCTAAGCATTTAGGGAAACTGAATTTGTTTCATTGAGAAATGTGGCTCACTTTATACGTGAAGGCAAATGAAATTTAGTTCCTTTCACATAAATTTAAGACCCATAAAATATTCTCAGTTCTTCCCAGGCATAGCAGAAATCATGTTGAGTCTGAGTTTCAAACTTGCTTTGAAACATTATGCTCACGTACATAAAACTGGACCTGGTGGAACCTGATCTAGTTTCAGGGTCGACATTTTTCAAGCATTCTGCTACCAAAGGAGAAATGAAGGTGACTCAAAGCAGGACATGCACTGCTGGGACAGATGTTGCGGCATCCAAAATTCTGCCTGATGCTTAGAAAACAGGCAGGCCAAAGGGAGCAAGTGTTACAGCGGAACCAGATGGAGTTTTTCCTCCTTCTTGGATTCTATGTGGACTGAGGCAATACCCAAAGGAAGACTCATCTTGCCAGCTGGTCCTGTTTGTACCACTGTGAATCCTTCAAATGCTGTGATTTTTCTCTGCAGGCTTCACCCCTTCTTTTCGCCCAAAGTGATTTCTCATATTTTCTCTTTAGTCCCCAAATAGGACTGGGAAAGCCCTTCACGAAAAACAACAGAGGCAAAAGCTGTTCTTGAAATCAGTTCATACATTTAATCAAAGCCAACTCCTTGAAATGCAAACGTAAATTTATGTACTTATTATATACATATGTACTATTATGTGCATAAACTTCTTTCACATCCATACATAAGCTTTAGCATTTAGTATGTCTTTTTAGGAGTTCAAGTGCAATCCTTCTTTCATGCCCTGTTCAAACTGACCATCTGAAACGCTAGCTTCGCTTTCTTGAAAATAAGTGTGTTCGGAGCTTTCCGGTACACCTGAAATGTGAATGACAAATCTTTGTCCATCTTTCAGGGTTACCAGGGTTTCCTGGCCCATAGGAAGGCTGAGTTTCACTGCGCTCTCCGTGGCCTTGTCTTCCAACAGTACCTGGATGAGCTGCAAATAGGAAGAGATTTAAAGAGAAATGTATATTATTTTATGGTTCAGAAATGGTCATTTGCATTCTTTGCATTTGCATTCTTTGACCATAACCAACACTCACTGGTACCTGTCCAGAGAGTCTGTGCATGTATTTTCATCACAGGGGATCCTGATTTCTCAGAGGCAACATTCAAGGTCTTATGAGAACATCCCGGGAGCTCCGAAATCCAGGGCTAATGCAAGATAACGGGCCTGAAGGGAATCAGGGGGCTCCCTCTAGGAATAGGAGAGGGTGCACTTCACTTTTTGATGGCTGATGTGAGAAAGCCCCAGTCTGCATCAGGAGGGGGCCTGGGACAGGCACTGTGGGTTTCTGTGTGCTACAGCTTCCAGCTCCTGGGCTGCTTTTCAGCTGGATTCCATTGGCCGTCTTCTCATCCTCTCTGCATCTGTCTGACACGGTGACTCAATTCCTGTGTCAGACCCTCCACCATCCAGCACATATACCATGAGACAGGTGCAAAAATGCCATGAAAATAGGCACCTGCCTTTGGCTAATGGGCCTTCGGTGGCGGTAGCAGATTAGAGAGGTTCACAGCCCCTGATTCTGATGAAGTGCCAGCTCTTGCCAGGCACCGGACTGTCCAAGCAAGGTGTCATATGGGGGAAGCGGGGATAAGCTGCCCTCCTTCACCTAGGAACTTGCAAACATAAAATGTACTCTCCTGGTCTGTCCCACCAACATATCTCCCCTAAAGTCATATATTTTGATTAAGGGTGTGAATGCCAGTCTCACGAAGTACACTGCCCACTGTCATCTGCAGTCCACAATAACCATCACCGTCAAAGGAAGAAATGCTTTCTTTCTCAAAAATGTCCTTCAGCTTCACCCTAGAGTTGAAGAATCACTGATTTCCGAAGGCACTCTGCTGGACCCCTTGGGTGGCTGACCTGAAGTGCAATTCACGCCATTTGTGCTCAAAAAGCTATATTCCTCACTTAATTCTGTGACAGATTAAGAAAAAAAAATCACTTTATTCTTAAACCTGGCTTAGCGTCTTCCTAATTTGAATGTTTCTGGAATGTACGAGAGCGACAGATGGATCTGGCCACAGGGGTGCTGACTTCAGTTACTACTGTAGGTGCAGGGCAGCGCTAGAGCATTCAAACAATGAGGCAGCCACAGATGCGCAGCGGAATGGGGCGCTGAATCGTGGCAGATGAATGCAAATGGGATGCAGAGGATGATGAGTGAATGCTGAATAATGAATGCAATGAAAATGAGAAGAGTACAGCTTTGGAGGTGTTAGATTGTGTCAGTCATTTTAGCTAATTCAGCAGGCGTGAAACAAGAGAAGGAAGTTTAATTAATCTCTAATGTATATTACCTTGCATTATCTGGCATTCTTCTGCTTGGATAGCTTTATTATGTGGTTCAATTAAGTGTTTAATATCTTCCCTATTGTTTCTGCCAACTAAATATAGGCCAAATCTCACCACAGTGAGCTTTAAAGTGATTGGGGACGGGCAGAGAAAATCAAGGGAGGGTGCTCAGATGAGGAGGTTTGGCTGGAGAAACATCACTGGGTCGGCAACCCCGTCGGTTGGCTTCTTATTGGGGTGTACTTGCTATGTGCTAAAGAATCGTTTCAGTGTTTGTGATTGATTTCCTGAAACTACACAACGGCTCTATGGAATTAGGTATTATTGTGATTACAGACTAAGCAACTTGCCCAAGGTTCCCAGCTAATAAATCTAACTGACCAACTTTGAATTCAGGAGCCTATGGGCTAGAACTGCCTACTGAATATTTTTAATCTGCTCCAAAGTCACGAGTTAAAATACACAGAACTAAAATGCCCAGGAAACCCTCTGGGAGTGAGAGAGAGGATCCTGGGAAGGCAGGCCTTGGGAGATTTGTGGGCACGTGAATCCATGCCCTCCCAACAAGCAGCGTGCACCCTTGGGAACACACTCAGCCCTTGTTGGAGCCTTAGTAGGACAGCTGTGAAGTGGGGATGTTGACCTTGCTGAGCTGAGGTGTTGCAATGAAATGCCCTGCATAGCAGTGGCTGCACAGGTAAGACTTTATTCCTATTCATTGACTAACCAAGCAGCATGTTCAATTTGACCAGGATTCCCTGCTTGGGCAGGCTGTACTCAGGCCCCTGAATCTTATTCTGGGCTCCTGTGTGCATCCTTCATAACACCCAGTTTCAGAATAGAACCCTACGGAATGGCTAGAACCTCTCATCTTTGCTGAATATGTAGTTGGGGGTCTCAGCCCTCCATTTCCCAGGTAATGCCAGGTCAACTTGGCCCATCTGTAGCTCAAGTTGCGTGCGGTCAGATTAGCCTGAATCTCTCTGACCCCAGAGATCTGCTCTCAGTAATTTGCTCCATGTGTTACCCCATCCACACTCGTCCAGGCTGGTATTCCAAGTTGAACTAAATCTCTGTGCTGCACAAAGCCCTGCCCAAGAAGATGATTCCCTTAACATGCATTAACTTGTGTCACTGAATGATTCTTCCCTTTCTGTCTAGCACAATGTCACCTCTGAACAGTGCTTAGCCATAGCTTACAGAGGGTCTCCACACCCTGTAGCACCCAGAGTGATTCTTCAGGAAAGAGATTTTCCTAAAGGTTCAAAATGTCTTGGGAACTTTTAAGACATGAGTGGTTTTAGGCTGTGACCGCTGTGACCCTCCACTGAAGGCATAGATAACCTCCTACAAAGCCTACCTGATTACTTCAGGAAGGGAGCCGGAGGCAGAGGGAAGACTGTGTACAGTAGCTAACCATAGCAGCTGTGTAGAAGTTGTAGGAAGCCAGGCTAAAACAATTGCTGTCACTAGTTCTTAAAAACCACCCTTCCACTCTTCCGAGTGGAACGAAGCCCCTACATCAGTCCAGCTTCTCTCAGTCACTTCAGCAGGCCCCATCTCTGACCAAGGCCCTGCTTATTCTGGAGCCTGGGCCACCTGCCTTTGAACTAGAATTGTAGGATAAGAATGGACTTCAGGAAGTGGACTTGGAGTCTTGGGGTTAAGACTCCAGAGTCCCATGTAGGAGTGCCCGAGTTTAATTTCTGGGTTTGGTGATTGCTTTTAACTCTAGATTCCTGCAGATCCTTGGTGGAAGTGGTGAAGCCCAAGTAGTTGGATTCCTGCTACCCATCTGGGAGACCTGGATTGCCTTCCTGGCTCCTGGTTCTAGACCTGGCCCAGTCCTGGCCATTTTGGGTGTTTGAGGACTGAACTGGTGAATGGGACCTTTGCTTTCTCTCTCTCTCCCTCTCTCATCCTTGTCTCTTTCTCTCTTTCTTGCTTCCCCTGGTTCTTTCTTTCAAATGAATAAAAACAATAATTAGAACATTTTGAAAATTAAACAGATGAGATCAATCAGGCCAGGGCTCTTTCCTCTGTCTCATCATTTTCTTGTGTTTGTTTCCTTTGTGACTTTGGGCAAGTCACTTGGCTTCTCAGTATTTATTTGTTGCCATCCAATGACAATAAGAAGAATAAACACTCTACAGTGCTGTATGACTTTGGGATAATGTATGGAATCACTTCAAAAGTTTGTGGAAAACTAAGCACTTTTTAAAAAAAATGTTTGAGTTTCTAAAAAGGGTATAGAGTGTTAGATAACTAAAAATTCCTTTTTTTTTATGTTTCGAGATGTACTTCGATTCAACCTTTTCAAAATCTTTTCTGTTCAGGCTGTTCAGCCTTTCCTTATTGGAACCCTAGAGGTGCTTCCAGTGTGTTTCTCTTTGCTTCGTGGTTGGCAGGGTGAGCTCTGGACAGGCAAGACTCATCATCTCCGCGTTTCACTCATACCTGTCAGTGCACCACACACCTGACAGCAACAGACAGCTAAGTCATGGCAAAAGTCACCCAAAGCAAAGAGGATTCTAGAATGCCTATCCTTGTTTGGACAATGTGATCTTTATGGGTTTCCTAACCATCTTGTAGTTCTTACTGTACTCAAAACAACTCTGTGTATGTGCATGTAGTGCATGTAGTGCATGTAGTGCATGTAGTGTGTGTGTATGCGTGTGTGTGTGTGTGTTGGGGGGCACACAGGTCACAGCATCTCTACCTTATCACCCGTAGTGGTGTCCACCAGAAAGCCCAGGACTCGGAGAACCAAATTGCTCAGACCCGTGGGACCCTGGCTTTGGCTCATGTGTTTTGGCGTCTCTGGTGGTGGCTCTGCAAGCAGGTTGGCACAATCTGGAGCTGAAGGTTCTGGAGGGTGGAAGAGCGTCTGGTCTGGTTGGAGAAGAGATTGGCTGTCTGGTAGCATTTCCCTGAGATGCCCCAGATCCTGCTCTTCCTCTTCTTCCATGCATGACTGAAGTATATGGATCACATATTCCAAAAGCAGCAAATGAAACAGGTGCCAGGAGCCTGTGTGTAAATAATAGCAGAATTAATATATTTGGCAGACAGCTATGTGGGTAATAAATAAACCCACGTGAAACTAACAGCTTTTCCGGGGGTTTCAACTCCTGAGAAACACAGACTTGTTCCCAGTGGAGGAGGAAGGGGGTCTGGGTGGGCAGGATTCATCCTTCCTGCTCTAATTCCAGCTCAGAAAACCCCTACATGATAGCTTCTGCAAAGAAAAGCACAGATCCAGATGGCTTAAGCTGCGAGAGCTAAGTTAAAATGCAGCAAGGAGCCAGCAGGGTGAGCCACTGCTTGCAACACTGTCATCACATATCAGAATAACAGTTCAAGTCTTGGGAGCTTCTTTTGGAACCGGCTTCTTGGAAAGCAGCAGATGCAGGTGACAGCAGAAGATGGCTTCTGTCACCCAGCATCTCCTTGGATGATCTGACCTGGTTGTAGTAAGTTTGACCAACAGCTCCCAGTCTATTTAATTTTGTGAAAACCATAGCCCCCTCTTAAGAGGAAAAGCTACTGTTGTGAAGTCTTTGACTACACCTGGCAGTCCAGGGAAAGTGAACGGGTTAGAGCAATGATAACAACAGTGCTAGATTTCTTTCTTTGATTGCATGTGAAGTCTACTCTCTTGTTTGCTCTAAACAACATTAGCATAAAGCAGAGTCAGTGTGGACTCTGTGAAAGTGGAGAACTTGATTATAAATGGCTGTCACTCTCAGGACAGCTTGCAGCAGTAAACCTCCAAAGAGCTCCAAGATCACAAAACTGATCCAGAATAGGGCTTACTTCTTCTTTCTTATCCTGTCCATGTGTCCAGAAGGACAGCTGGAAGATCACTGGGGCCAGGAACGGGACAGGGAGGTGAGGGAAGCAGTTGATTCACCTGGAGACATCAGTTCCTTTTATTCCAAGACCTAAAGAATGAGTTTGGGTCGCTTTGCTCTGCAGATAAGCAGACCGTCTGCCTGGACCAGGTTCAAGATTGTTTAGAAGGATAAGGCTGACCAGGGTTGACTTACAGTTCATCGTACACTCATTGTAATAGCTTAGCTTGTTAAATGACACACCTACAAACCATCACAACAGGAAACATCAGATCATATGAGGAGCAAAAAGGAGCTCTAGCCACATTCTGGAAAATTTCTGCCTACTTCACAGTAATTCCATGAACATTCCTCCTCTTTACTTCTTCTTTGTACTAGAGTGTACTTCCTCTTTCATGAAATGATCCATATCATGTGAAACACTATTCAGAAATGGGCCACTCTTCTGAGCAGGCTCTCAGTGTCTGTGGATAGCGGTCTGTTCTCTGGATGCAATGCTTGTAGATCAGTACCTTCCATTCTGCACTCACTCTTGGATTTCATCTTGAAGTCAAGTTCATGTGCCAGGAAGCCTTTGCTGCCCAGTGTATATATGACTCCTCCTAACCAGTGCCTAAACTTCTAGTGGTAAAAACTTCCTTTGTCTTTCTCTCAATAGATGCTTAGTGCCCAGCAAGGTGCTTGGGACTGTGAAATAAAAGGGAAAGCATCATTATGATGAGAGCAACAGTGGGAGAGCTTTTCAGGACAGAATCAGGAGGCTGTTAAAGGCAGCAGGCTCTGTGGACAGCTGCTGTCCGGAATGTGAATCTCCTAAGCAAGCACCTGGAAGGACTAGTCATCACATCATACTTGGGTACAGAATGTCTATCCAGAGGTTTCTGGACTCTTTGCGGATATATTTTTTTTAATCAAGTGTATACATTCTTTGCTATCCTTCATTAGTTATGTAGTCCTTTAAGTTATTTTCAATTTCAATAGGAATTTTAACTATCTTGCAGTGACTTAACAGAAATCTTTTGGGGGGCTCTACGTGATCCCACTTTCCCTGCCTGCCTTGGAGCACTGATTTGGAGCTATCTGAACCTGTGTCTCCTGAACTGCGATGCCTAAGATCCTAGCTAGTTTCATTGTTTCTGAAATTGAATTGATCAACAATTAAATGGCTAGGGACATAAATAAAAATCTGTTGAGTGAGCAATAGATCCCAGGAAGCTGGAGAACTTGCAGCTCTTACATCACACCAGTGACAAAGGTGTGACCTCCTACAGTGACTTGGTTGGCAAGTGTTCAAGGTTCACATTGGTTCATTCCTCTCACCCTCCACACACAGTGATGCCTCTGTTGGCCATTGTTCCTGAAAATTAAATATCGGTGCTCCAAAGAAGCCATTGTTTTTTCCATCTCAATTATCACCTTTGACGCTTTTCCCATAATTTCACAAAGCTCAAAAACTAAGACAGTGATGGGCTCAAGAAGTGAAGGCACAATGGGTTTGTTTGGTGGACTCTCACAACACCATTAAAGAGAGAGCGAGCTATGGCTTTTTTTTTTCCTCTATGATGCATTTACATTAGAAGAAGTTTTTTTAAAAAGTGACTGGATTTTCTATAGCAATATGCAAAGTTCTTACGCTGTTACACGATTTCTGGAGGATACAATATAAAACCTTTTGTATTCTGACTTACCAAAGCTATCTCTGTGGCAGAGGGTCATGGCTTTGCTCACAGCAGTAAGAAGGAAATTCCATCGAAGCTGGAAGTTGGCAGCTAATTTCATAAATTCCTCTTTGTTTCTGCTTGGCTAGTGCATTTTTTCGTGAGACCAAAAGAAAAAAAAAAAGAAAGAAAACACCCACTGAGGTTTATGATAAAATCAAGAAGACTAGAGTGTTCTCAAATGCACATACATGTGTCATGCACCAGGGTTTTACAAGGGCTAAACTAGCAAGGCGAAGGAGAGGACACTGTGAGGCTGAGAAGGAGGCAGGAGCTGACTCGGGGCTGTTTCTGGTTTTGAGCCATCCCCTGTGGAGATGGTTCCAGGACAGAGCAATTGAAGTTGATGGAGAAAAGAAGGGAGGTGGGAAATTGGCCTCATCTTTTTTTTAAATCCCACATAATTTTTTTTTAAAGAGGTCACTTGCAAAATGCGTTAAATAAAATTTATGAGAGGTCTTTGATTTGAGCTTAATTCCCATATGAGGATCAATATCCTAAATCAAAACGGAATCACTCATGCTAAAATCCCACTAGGCAGAAGCTAAGTCACTGATCTGACTGCCTGGTAATTCAGCAGAGAGAGACAACAGCCAAAGTCCCAAACAGCCCAGTGTTAGCCAGCATGTAAGGGGAAGTCCCCTCTGCGTTAGTCTATGTAAGGGAAGTGACTTCGGAGCTGGCGCAGTGGCTCAACGAGGCTAATTCTCCATCTGCAAGTGCTGGCAGCCTGATGGGTGCCAGTTCATATCCCAGCTACTCTATTTCCCATCCAGCTCCTTGCTAGTGGACTGGGAAAGCAAAAGAGGATGGCTCAAGTCTTTGGGACGGTGCACCCACATAGGAGACCTGGAAGAGGCTTTTGGCTTCGGATTGGGTCAGCTCTGTCCATTGAGACCGCTTGGGGACTGAACCAGTGGAGGGAAAAATCTTTCATCCATCTCTCTTCTTTGTAAATCTAGCTCACTTTCAAGTAAAAATAAGTAGATCTTATTTTAAAAAAAAATAAAGTGACTTTGTAAAGGTCACTTTATTTTTAATTCCTTATTTTTGCTTTCTCTAACCTTTTCCTGCCTACAAACACTTCCTGCTCTCTGACCTCTGTGGTTCCCAGGCTTCCCAATTCAGGAGTTGTTCTTTGCTCAAATCCACTCTGCGGGACTGTTTTGCCTATTTTTTTTTTTTTTAAATCAAGGGCACCCACAGCACCCTCTCCAACACATCTATTTAAATGGCTGGTACTTGCACTTGAGCATGCTCGGTCTGATGTGAAAAGCTGAGACTGATTTTCCCATAATGAAAAGTCAGGAGCTTATTTGGGAAAATGTGAAGTTGACTGCTGTACCATGTAAACAACCCTATGACTAGAGAATCTCTGACGTTGGGTCCCAAACAGCCAAGGTCATCTGACGGCCTGAGTGGTGCTCAACAGGGTGCCAGCAAGATGCTGCTGGAAGCAGACTAAGAAATTCTCCCCCTCTGGACTGAAAGATGCTTTGAGCCACTCCTGAAGTGATCCACAAACTATGAAGTCATAGATTTTTTTGAAATGCATGCGTCACCATGAATACCCCAAGGCATCCTCTGGGTTTGTCACAGGACTTTCCACTGGCTTGCAACCACATGTATTTTCCTTTTACATTTTCATTTACTTATTTATTTAAAAAGCAGAAAGACACGCAGAGACAGAGGAAGATCTTCCATCTGCTGATTGGCTCCTCAATTGCTGGCTAGGAGCCGTGGTGGGCCAGAAGCTGGGAACTACCCGAGACCTAATTACCTGAACATCACCTGCTACCTTCGAGTATATGTGCATCAGCAGGAAGCTGGAATTAGGAGTGGATCCTGGACCTGCGTCCAGGCATTGCAGAATGGGATGTGGGCATCCCAGCTGGCTCCTTGACTGTTATACCCAATGTCCACTCTGTAACCCCACATCACTGAGGCAAAGAAGGGGATATGGGCTGGAAGTGACAAAAAACCCCATTCTCATCCTTGCTTATCTACCATTTTGCCCCATGCCAAGCTGTCAACTCCCCGCAGGGTCATTCTAAGCTTTGGAATACTTTGTGACTCATCTATTGGCTCTTGCCACTTGCAAGCGAGCTCTTGGGAAGTTGTTCCTCCCATGTAGTGGCGGTGGCATCAGGCTGAAGGGATGATGTGACTACAGAAATCATTGGAAGCTTTCTGGTAGTATTGGGGGAGATCGTGCCTGGTGACCAGAACTCCCTCTGCACATGCGTTTGTTTGACCATCAGTCATGACGATCACTGAGCATTTGTCCTACCCCCAGACCATGGGGTGTATCTTGTCCCTTTGCTTACAAATCTGCACCCAAGCAGTGAGAAACATGTGCCCAAGTTGGCCATTTCTCTCTCCCAGCTGCAGACAATCGAGGATATTAGTCATCTCTGACAAGTCCCAGGGTTTGCATTTTAATGGTCTGAGTGTTTCATTGACAATAGTCTGGCTTTTTTTTTTTCTTTAAATCAGGGAGGCTATTTTACAAAAACAAGCCTTTCAAAGTCACGTAATTGCAGAAACATCATTTTTCTAACACGCCTCATTTGTGAAGGCTGCAGATGGGCGCCTCAGGGACACACGTGGGGTTCCATGGCTTGCAACCATCGGGCTGCCTGCCTCAAGGCAGGGCTGGCATTAATGATCTCAGTGGGCTCTTCCTGGCGGAAGCTGAGACTCTGAAACAAGGAGCAGGGCGCACTGGCAGTTCCTCCCATCCAAGCTGCTGCTGGGTGGTAGGCCTGCAGCTCCCCAGGGAGTGATTCTGGGAGGCTCTGTAAAAGCCGTGGGTGGATAAATGTCTCAGTCACCAGCAACTCTGGTGTTCTGAATAAACCCTGCCAGAGACCACCAAGGAAGCATAAAGACTTCAGACACTCTGGAATGATTATTTTCAGGAGGCAAAGAATGGGAGCGGACACCTGTTGTGGGTTGGAACTGGCTTTTTGGCTCCTTCCTGAGGTATTCAGGTTCCTGCTCGGGAGGTTCAAAATCCCAAAGTTCTGGCAGCCGTGAAGATGGACTCACTCATTATGTCTGCCTATTCTTCTCCACCGACTCACCAGGGATAAAGACAAAGGAAGCGAGATGGGATTGGGGCTTCCAGGAAAACATCCCAAACCCAAGTTCCTATTCCAGGTCCTTGGCATCTTTGTTCCTTACCGGGAGTTCTCTGCTGCTTCCTACCTGCATCCCCACGTGCTTACTACCACTCTTGTCATTCTTCATCCTCAACACCTTCTCTCCTTCTCTCAGCATAGTTGATTTCTCCTCACCTCCCGTATCTCGGGTGGAGTCCCGCTAACCTCTTGAAGGCCTTTCCCAACTTTCTCAGCATCGGCGAGCCTGATGTCACAAGAAGGGGCCTGGAGCTACCTTGCTTCCATCCGGGCTTTAATCCCTGACTCCTTCTAGAGCCCACTGGAGCCAGTCACTTTGGTTTCCCTGGAGACATTCTCAATTCTTTCAGGGCAATGGCCCATGATGATGACAAAGGAAATCAAGCCCAAGAACCAACTACAGTGATTGCCTGCAGGCAAGCTGATCACATAGACAAAATCCACCTGTGTCCACCACCAACTCATCCTTGAGATACGGAAGTCAAGCTAGGTGTTTCGCTGGAACACAGCTGCTGAACATTCAGGTGGGTGATCATTGTCCTCAGGCAGGCAAGCCTCCTCCCTCACACCCCACACACCTCCTCCACACTCCTGCTTCGTGCACACAGCATATACCCATAGAACCAGCATATACCCACGCATATACACTCAGCACCCCCCCACACATGCACATGTGCTCATTGACTGTCCTGCTGTCACCATGTACTGCTGTGGTTTGACCACATACTTTCAGAAATAAATTTCCAAGGTCATATGCTACTAGTTCTTGCAGGCAGGGCCTCAAAGAGGTGATTGGGACACTTCATTCATGGGTTATGGAGAGAGTGACTTTGTTTGACATTGAGCTCTCTCTGGCACACATGGTCTGTCTTGTCACGTACTATCTTCAGATGCTGCAGGATGGCAAGATGCTCACTTGATGCAGATCAAGATCAAGACCTTGGCCAGAAGTGTATTTTTCTTTCTCCTTGCCTGCCTGCCTCCTCTCCTCACCCCATCCTTTTTTTTTTTTAATTATTTTTTCCCTTTTAAACTTTTTAAAAATTTCACATTTTACTTATTTGTTGAGATAACATTTTAAATTTACATTATGGTCCAAAGCTTATGGGATTTACTAAGTAAAGAAGTCAACAAATAAAAAGCTCCTAATCCAGCAGGAAAATAGGCAAGGGTCGAAAACAACAATCACATGGAAAGATATTTAATGTATCTAAGTTTTAATGTAGTAAAAAATTATTTAAACTATGGTAGTGTATACTTCATATCGATCTGACAAAAATGTAAAAGTCAAAAAACACTGTATTTGCAGCAAAATTGATATACATGGGCATTTCTTTTGTTTTTGAATTTTAGCTAGATATGAATTTCTTTTCTTTACCAGTGACCTCATGCATGATATTCAGGTACAGAGAGGAAGTGGACAAACACTGACCGCCCCCCACACACCCGCACATGTGCACATACACACATTTGTGATTGTTTTGCTATCCCATCTTCTGCTCTGCAACGAAAGTGAAGAGCCACTTCCCTCTCTCCTCTCACTCTTGCCAGCCCTGCCTGGCACATTCCTGATCAGAGCTTGGGAAAGTTCTTTCTCCTACCCTCAAGTAATGAGAATATAGGACTATAATTGAACTAGCATGATCGACACCCACTTCTTTCCTTATAAAAACAGAAATCATGGGTTTGTACCTGGAAGACAAATGCTTGGAGATTAGAAGACAGGCAGTTCAGAAACACGCTGAGATCCGTTGATGTTCCCAGCAAAGAAATCAAACTGCTTAAACCTACAAGGAGGAAAAGGAGGCACAGGAGATCACATGTACCACGCAGAGTTCCTTGGCAGGTGTTTGTGTCCTAGGCAACCTGGGCGACAACATCTGAACAATAGTTCAAAGGAATTCCTCCAGGCCTCACATTCATTCAGATTATAAAGGATGTCTCAGGCTAGACTTGTCACTCTGGCGCTGTCTAGTTTGGAGTCATTGGCCATACCTCTGCCCCCTGCAGCAATGCAAGGAAATGTTTTCACACAGCAACCCCACCTTGTAATTACACAGACACTATTTGCAGGTGAGCTCATTCTCAGTACAGACATGACCTCACCTACCCTTGACATGTGCACAAAAGGCCTGGTGTATTCATGCCATGCAAGCGACAGTGGACATCAAAGGTGGTCAGCACCTTGCCTGCGGTTATACACTCAATTAGGTGGAGCCCAGCTGGGAACATATGTGTGGCATTAGATCTTGGTTCCTCCACCTGTGTAGGGGGCACTGAGAAACAGAACCGAGTTTTGGCCTTCCCACCTTTTTAAGTACCCACTTTTTAAGCATCTGGGATTGAGTGTAACAAGCCAAGTAGGTTTCTTGGTTCAGGTGAGGCTTGTTCACAGAATGCTGCTCCCTGGAAGCTTGTGCCACTTTTAGTGTTCTGTCTCCTTGTCAAGTCCTGGGGACCCACAGGGATGACGACAGGAGCAGAGGAGCCCTGGGGCAGCCCTCGTGATCCTGGGGGCTCTTTGGGCTTCAGCAAGGAGCAAGAGCAAGGTTTTGGGGAGCCACTTGGGATGCCTGGGGCTTCCTGTGGCCTGTGGGAACAGGGTCTTTTTGGATCCCACTAGTCAGAGGTGCTGTGTAGATCTCTGAAGCCTGTTGTGTCTCATGTTAACACGTCAGCTGGCGGATTGATGGAAAAAGGGTGGTTTATCAGGGGATCTGGGATTCAGGTTAGCCAGGACAACATGGGCCAGGCCCTGAAGTGGGGAATGGGGGTGGTCAAAGGCTATTTAGCATCAAGTATGTATATATTTCAACATTCTAATAACTGTTACAGCCCACCAAGTTCAGTCCTACTTCAATGTCAAAGAAAGAGATATATCTGCCCACCACCCCAGTAAGAAAAGCTGTGGGAGGAGGATTACATTGCATCTCTGTGTGGCTCTCCAGCTCCTCCGTGGGGTCCAGGCCACCTGTCAGGGCCTTTGCAGAGATATCTAAAGCACCTTGACTGAGGATAGCATGCAGATCCGACTTCAAACCGTTGGCTCTCCCACTGTTTTTCAACACCAATCTCATGGTCTGAAGACAAGAAAGAAGCATAGCACTTCATGACATCTTGCTGTCTTGCTTCTTGCTTTTGCCTGCTCTTTCCATCTAACCAAGACTTTTTGTTACAGAGAAGAAAAGTGAGATCAGCTGCTAACATTGCCTCTTCAATGACAAAGCATTGAAAGCATTCTAAAATTGCCAAGCTAAAGACTAGTATTTTGAAGTCTTCTGCCCTAGGCAGCGGTATGTAGGGCTGCTATCTGTCCTCAGCCTCCCGTTCAATTAGCCCAAAGTGTCCAAGACAGTCCAACAGTGGTGACCAATCATCCCAAAGGAAAGGGTGGGGAGAACCTTGACTTTGATTCTGAGGGGTGATTTTGGGGACTGAGAAACTGACTCAGCCGTGTTTTGTTGGGGCAAAGAACTGAGCTTTCCTGAATGACTTGACTCAGCTGTCAAGTAGGATGCTCTCATCCCTCACCTGCTCAGACTGTGTGGTGTGAGCACCTGTGTGGTGTGAGCATCCTTTCCCTGGGCAGAGGAGGAACCTGAGTGTGTGTGGGGGTGCTGAGTGAATGATCCCAAGTAGTGGTAAGTTTACAGCTAAGGCTGAAGACACAGCTGGTTCTGGTTGGAATGATGTGAAGGGCTTGTCCTTGAGAGTGAGATAGGTCAAGAGCACATAAACAGGTGACACCCAGGTGAGCAGGGAGGGCTTTGTGTTGGAAGGATGGGGACAGCTCCGGGGGCTGACTCCGTTGACTCCTGGAGAGCAGAGACCAGACAAGAGCAGAATGACAGGTCCCATTCTCAGTTCCCATCTGCAGCCTAGGGACCACCACAACAGACTGCTGGGTGGGCCACAGGCTGAGTGCCCACACAAGTCAGTTGGTCCCTGGTAACCTTGGGTGGTAGGTTCCAGGACCCCCTCCCAAGATAACAAAATACTTAAGTCCCTACATAAAACAACACAAAATTGGCATCTAGCCTATGTACACCCTCCTTGGTTGCTCTGAATTATTTGGGTTACTTAGTACAGTGTAAATGCTGTGTTGGTAACTGTTCTATTGTGTTTTAACAATGAGGAAAATGTCTGTACATGGTGATGCAGAAGCAATCACTACAGGCCTTCTAAGATTTCCCATGTGTTGTTGGTGGAAACACAGAGGAGGCACCCGAAAATGCAGTGGGTCACTGCTTGGGAATGAGAAGGTCCAGTGTGGGTGAGCAGTCTGGTGGCCTGGACCCACTGAGCCACAGGGACGAAGGGTCTGTCTGTCTGTCAGTTAGTCGGTTGGTCCTAGACTCTGCTCTGATGCCCTTTCAACTTCATACACCAGCCTGTCCAGGTTGGCACTGCACGGGACCTTGGGGCAGCTTGTCTAGGGATGACCTCTCCCTCTTGCTCAGAGACAAACCAGGCGACCACAGCCTGCCTGTCTGTGTGTGGGCTCTGACTGTCACAGCCCCACCAGACCTTCCCTACCAGTGGCAGGCACTGTTCCCCAGCACTGTTGTCCCACCCTCTGCTTGCCTAGTGGATGGAAATAGCTCCCCCTGCAGCTCTCCTTTTCCTCTGCAGGAAACTGCTTTGTTCCCGGTGTGTCCAGTGGGCCACCACCTACCTACCTTAGCCATGTTGGAAAGGTATGTCTTTCTTCTGATTCTCTTGACAAACACGGTGACTTCTGTTAAGAGCAATGCGCGTCATTGTTACTGATCCTGTCAGCTCAGGTTCTTCCATGACTGATGGGGAGCAGGTCCACGTGGGTGAATGGGGACAGAGAAGGCAGTGTTGCCTGAGTGCACCCCCATCTTCCCCTGGCTCTCTGCCCTTCTTGTGGGCTGGGAGGTTCCGGCAGGGCCAGCCGGATGAAAGGTACCCATGTGTAAGGAAAAGCGTGTAGTCCCAGTGCTACTATGACATGCATGCCTGTGACTCCCACTCCAAAGTCCTGTGCTAAATGCTCACCCACATGGTGATGGTGTCTGGAGCTGGGGTTTTGTGGGATCCTGCTTATGAGATTAGTGCTGACCTCATGAGACCCCTGACATCTTCCTCTTTGTAAGGACAAAGTGGAGACAGCCGTAACTCAGTGAGGACAGGGGTCCTCAACAGCCACTGCCTGGCTTGGATTTGCCAGCTTGCAGTGGGAAATTTCTGTTTACTTACCCCCCACCCAGCTTTTTAAGAAGCTACTCAGCTCATGCAATGGTGGCACAGCACTTCTGACACCAAGGACATATTTGGATGAACCCGTTGTTGAGTGATCTCATCATGGTGTGAACATCAAAGTATGTCCTGAGACCAACTCAGAGGCTGTGATGTTGCTAGGAGACAGAACGTCATCCACGGGGCCATTGGGTAACGGTGTGCTGTGCTGTGTGTGGCACATGATTGCGTTTTGCTGTAACAGTCTAAGATACATGTCCAACAGAAGTTAGGATTTCTGCCAGGGAATCCTCTGTACTTCCAACTTTCTCATCTCCTCAGGATATTATCCCAGGAGGAGGAAGGAAGAAAAGCAAAAACATGAAGAAGATGCTGTTGAGCTCACAACCCACCAGTGAGCTCTAGGTTCCCCTGCAGTGTGACAACATGGGGGAGACAAAGTAGATACTTCCGGGAAGGCAGAAGACTGTCTGGGGGATGGCATCAGGGAAGGCTTCTCTGAGGAGGTGACATTTCACTTGGGCTTTCACAGGCAGATAGGAGTTAGGTAGGAGAGTGGGGGACACATGGATATGGTCCAAGCACAAAGAACACAGAGACAAAGGCCTTCTGGGGACCACCGTTCTTGGGCCCCTGAGAAACAATGGGTGATCATGGCATGGGGGAATCTCTGGGAAGATGGAGACATAGACGGGGCCCGAGATCAAACGGTAGATGACTTGACATCAAATGAAGGGCTGTGGATGGTCTGTGAGCTGTAGAAAGTGCTCATTGACCAAATTATTCTTTGGGGATGGTCACTGGGGGTGGAAGTGAGTGTGACTGGGGGCTGGGAAAGGCTAGAGGCAGGGCAGGCAGCCAGGAAGTCATGGAAATAACTGGCACACTGACAGAGCCTGAGGTCCAGTGTATGGGCAAGTGCTAAAGTGGTCACAGCACCTGCTACACAGGAAACTCTAGTCTTATTTTCTTTTTGCAGAGCTTTCTCCCGGGTTCTTTGTGGCTGCCCATCATATAAGCCTATGTCCTTGCCTGGCTGGGCCCCAGAATTTCCAAGTGGAGAAAAGTGGGAGCAGGGAGTCCAGCATGAGTCCTGAGCACAGCTGGGAGTGTGATGATGGTAAGTGACGGGAGAGGTTCAGATGCCAAGACCAGAGTGCAGACGGCCCAACCCAGGAAAGCATTGCAAAGGGAAACAAGTCTCATACACAGAAGAGAGTGATGGGTATTGGCTTGGTGGGGGTGGTCCTGATCTGGCCCAGGAAGCATGGGCCTTGGGGGGGAGACAGGTCATGGGAAAGAATCTTATCCCACCTGCTCAAGGGACTGTGCAATGGGATGTTGGGCACTGGCTGGAGGCGTGGCCAGGTGCTTTTCCCAGCAGCACCTTTGCCACATCTCCAACTTTTTGGACCTGGCAAGCATTCATGTGATTATTCTTCAGGGGGAATAGATCATCCCAAGAATCCTTCACTGGCATTCAAGGAAAGGTCAGGCCAGACCTTCTCAGATGGGGTTAAAAACTGAAAGGCTTACCCCCAGTGTGAATGCTGGAGAGATCCACTCTAATAGAATAGAACCTACCTTTGAGTTTGGAAATCTTTAATGGAGCCGGAAAACCTTCCACTGCTGTGAGAAGCCAAAGCTTATATCTCTTACTAAATTGTCTCACCAATTTCAAGTACTGGATAGAAACATCTTCCAAAAAGTCGTGAAGGAGAATGTCCTCAATTCCCTACAATAAGAGTGTCAAATTGGGGTGGGCCTTTAGCCTAGCTGTGGAGTAGCCCACCCGCACCCGAGTGCCCGTGCCTGGATTCAGCTGCTTCAGTTACCCGCTCCAGCCCACGACCCCAGCTTTGTGCCAGTGCAAACCCTGGGAAGCATTATTCATGGCTCCCACATGGGAGACTTGGATTGGGTTGTCACCTCCTGGCTTCAGCCCTCGTGCAACTTCAGCCATTGCAGGCAGTGGAAGAGTGAACCAGAGGATGGGAACTCTGATTGCCTCTGAAATAAGTAACATTTTTCATAAAGTGGCAAGACGCTGACTTTTCTGGCTGGTGTAGGTGTCTGTCATAGAAATAACCAAAGCTGGACCCAGTGCGGTGGCCTAGCAGCTAGAGTCCTTGGCTTGAACATGCTGGGATCCCATATGAGCACTGATTGTAATCCCAGCAGCCCTGCTTCCCATCTAGCTCCCTGTTTGTGGCCTGGGAAAGCGATTGAGGATGGCTCAAAACCTTGTGACCCTGCGTGGGAGATGCAGAAGAAGCTCTGGTCTCCTGGCTTCAGATCAGCTTAGCTCCAGCCATTGCAGTCATTTGGGGGAGTGAATCATTGGATGGAAGATCTTCCTCTCTGTCTCTCCTCCTCTCTGTATATCTGACTTTGCAAAAAAAAAAAAAGAATAAATCTTAAAAAAAATAAATAAAAAGAAGTGACCAAAGTTTATAAGTGCCACAGGTATGAACTGGAAGGAGCAGCTGCCACACAGCCCAACGCACTGCTTACTCCGTAGGACTATAGGCTGCTGTGGCTACAATTAGATTTTTTTTCTCCAAGGACCTTAAAATACTAATAGTTGATTCATTTACAAAACAGTGTATTGGGCATATGAGGTTGATCACACCAAGTATCTTTAAGGGTTGATCTAAGTCTCTAGTTTTCAATCTTCATTGTTAAAAATTTTGAAATAATATAATTTGATTCCTAAAAATGGATAAAGGTAAGATTCGTGACTATAAGAAGCAGAACACAGTCTTGCACAGACATGACACCTCCCTGATTCTCAAAATACAAACATCACGTTAGAGGCAGAGCTTCACACGAAATAGACACCCCACCCTTTTCCCCTGCAGTTATGTCTATTCCCAAGCAATTATACCAATTATTCATTGTACAACATCTTCTTTGACAGAAAGCACCAGAGAAAGAACTCTGACTCAATTCCAGGCTCAGCAGTTTTGGAACCATGGGTCACTCTGTGTGTTGGCTATGGATCGTTGCGGGAAGCAACTCAGAAAAGTCAACAGCAACAGGCTCAAGACCCATCAACACTGCCAGTCACCCCTCAGAAAATCCCGGGCCCATGGAGAGAGCAAAGGAGGAGGGGCGGGGCTGTGGTTCCAATTCAGCCTTTAGTATCAGTGTATGGAACCGGTACAAACCCAGGGCTCAGCTGTCTTCCTACCTTGTATAACTGGGCATCGTAGCACTTAAAGAGCTGGCACACGTCAGGCAGCGACATAAACATGACTGTGTCTTGCTGTAGAGACTTCCAGAAGGATGTAAGAAGGTCCTGTACCTGACATAAGAAATGATCAAACAGTGGAAACTCCTTTTGTGCCTTGTAAAACCTCGTCCCACCCAGACAGACTGGAGGGAATTTTGTTCCAGGCATCTAAAGCTTTGCCTGTCTGCTTTCCAAGCTGTGTATTGGAAGGATTCTGACCCTGCAAACTCTGAGAGAGTCATTTCCACTTAGGTAGACCATGAAGGAAAGCTGTTTCTGACCACAAGGGGGCTCTGGTTGATAATATCAGGATGAGGATTGGGACAGAGGGGTCCCGTGGAGTTCAGAACCTGTTGATCACTTGGACCAATTTTCTGCTCAGAAAGAGGTGCAACAGTGTTTTTACACTTCATCTTAGCCGAAGGTTGAGAAGTGATGCAATAGTGCTTTTAGTCTAAGGAACCTCCTGTTTGTCTTTGGTGAGACTTCACCCAAGAGTGTATGCAAGGCAGAGCTGGTGAAAAGCCATGTGGGCAAGTTGGTGGTGGGACAAAATGGCTGCCTCCTTTCCTTTCTTTTGCCTCATGAGGACTTTTCAGATTCCATCCTTGAGTCCTTCTGAGGTGCCAGAAAATAAAGGCTCACGTCCTTTTGTGCCTTCGGGCTCTTGTTGTCTTTGCTTGCACCATGGCTTCTATGTGGAATCTCTCCTGCCCTGGCTTTTTGTCCACTGAACCTCTGCTTTCCTACCAGAGTCAGCAGTGACATGGCTTGCCTTGAGGAAACTCTCCAGCCTTCTGAGTCACTCTTCTCTGGACACCCAGAATATTCTCATCATATAGTTATTCTAAAACATGCCATGTCACACCACATCTGTTGGCTAATACTGTCTCTTTCATGATCAATCTACAAGATTATTCCAAAAAGTTCATGGGAAATGGCATGAAAAAATAAGTTTACTTTCTGCAATTTCCCCCCTTAATTTCGTACATATAAGGGATCTACAAAAAGGTCATGTAAATAGCATATGATGAAAAAAAAAGGCATAAATTTCAAAAATTTGGGGTACCAAAAGGAACTTGCCTATCAACTCCATTTTTCACAGACTTTTCTAAATCCCCTTGTGAAAGCTTCTCCAGCCCTGAACAGGACACCTCTTAGCCCCAGAACAGGTGCTGGCCACAGGCTATGGAGCAAACACACATTTGATGACTGAGTACAGGAAGGATGGACTATGTTGTGTACTCAGTGTGGGTGGAGATGTCTAGTATCTCCGTCAAAGCGCACGGACTCCTCTGAAGACATCCGGATCTCTGTCTCGTTACGACTTGTTTCTAGCATGTGCAGCAAATGTGCTCATGCTGAATGAACATTGTCAGCAGCAGTTGAGGTGCTTAGAACTTCTGGAATGCAAGCTCAAATGCTATTTTCCCCAGGCTGCGTGTTCTACCTGGAATCTTTTCTCCCATCCCATACATCCCTGTTTTTTTTTTCTTTTTCATCTGCAAAAGATGAAATTCAGAATATTGAAAGGTTTCATGTTTTCACAGTCAATTCTAGAATAAAATTTAAGCATTAGAATTCCCAAACTTTAGTTTAACTTATTTTCCAGTTAGCAGTATGAATGAAATGGCTCTTGAGTGAGCTTGAAAATTCCAGGTGAATTATATTACTAACATTTTATTTGAAACCAACTAGCATGAAGATATATATATTTTAAAAAAGATGGATTTGCATTTACAGCATAAAGTTATCCATATTAGAATCTTGGAGAATTTCTCTATTGAATGGACTGAATTTCAAGGTCACCTTTGGGAACTCAGAAAGCTGTTGTAAGTACTTTGGTACGATGGATGACCAGCAGACATCCCTTGAGAGGTCTGTTGAGGTGAGATGGTTAATGATGGGTTGTAAATGCTTGGAATTGAAAGAAAAAGCCCTACCCTCTCAAATTCTTGATTCTTCACACTCTGTAAAATGTCTTGACAATAGTTGCAGTATTCGTTGGCAAGAAAGGCCATCTAAGGAAATATATAGAAAATTATTTCAGCTTTAACTTCCAAAAAGAGCTGATCCTTGAGGACCTATGCGACCTGTCAGATTTGCCCTTGCTGTGATTCAGCTGGACCACGGTGGGTTTAACGTCTAGGAAGCACTGCATACCCTAAAACCTATAATCCGACTAGTCTTAATTCAATATTGACTCATCTATTTCCACGGCTTCTTGAACTACATAGGCAGCCCTGCTTCTGACCAAGCTCCTTGCGAATACGCCAAGGGAGGAAGCAATAGTACCACAAGTACTTGGGGTCCAGTTAGTGACATGGGAGACTGCTTGGTTTCAGCATGGCTTAGTTCCGGCAGTTGTAATCATCTGGGGGGAGTGAACCAGCAAATAGAAGATTCTCTTTCTTATTCTCTGTCTCTGTAACTGCCTTTCAGGTGGAAATAAGTATACCTTAAGAAAAGGATACCCACTGCCTTAAGCATCGCATAACATGAAAAGCTAGTCAACTTCCAAAAGTGCAAACCTACCATTTTATACGAGTATTTCTTTGCCAGTTCTTGTTCCCAAAATTGACATCTTCTGAATTCAGGCAAAGGAGATTCCTCTTGGTCTGTCTTTTTGAGTGCATGCATTTCATACTAAAAATTATTTATATATGGATTATTATTTTTAAATAAAATGCATTTTCTAGCATAAAAATAATGTCACAATCACACTGTTACTGTAAGTTAATGATCTATGTCAGCTTTTATCTGCATCTCTGGATACAGTCTTGACTGTAGCAATTTTTGTCCCATATTTTGTCCTGAAATTATGCTAACCTGTGGCTTTAAGACTATGGACTAGGCCCAGTGCAATAGCCTGGTGGCTAAGTTCTTGCCTTGCACGAACCCGGATTCTATATGGCACTGATTCGTATCCCAACGGCCCTACTTCCTATCCAGCTCCCTGATTGTAGCCTGGGAAAGCAGTAGAGGACAGCTCACAGCCTTGGGACCCTGTGTCCATGTGGGAGACCAGGAAGAAGCTCCTGACTCCTGGATTTGGATTGGCTCATCTTGGGCCTTTGAGGCCACTTGGGGAGTGAGCCAGCGGAAGAAATATCTTTCTGTTTGTGTCTCCTTCTCACTGTATATCTGCCTTTCCAATAAAATAAATAAATTAAAAAAATTAAGACTATGGACTACAGCCATAAGGGTGAAGGTAGGATTTAATATGGAGGACTTCAAAAAGAACTTTGTTTATGGAATATGGAATTAGTAAATTAGCATGTTTTTGGTGCAAAACATTTTGAAATCCATGTGTGTAAGGAGTCTTTAAAAAGATCATGGCAAAATGCATATTATGAAAAAAACATGCATGAATTAAAAAAATTGTTTGCACCAAAAGAGCTGTAGCTTTTAATTCCTTTTTACAAACTTTTTGAAGCACCCCAGTATGGTACTCAGACATACCAGTGCTGGCCTTTCCTAGCCCTCTCGCCCCTGAGTCTTTATCCCTCTACTTTGGAGGCCTCACACCATCCCTCCATTACAGAACCCATTCAACATTGTCCTGGTTATTTCAGATCTAGTTTAGCTCCCCAACCTCAAAGCTCTATTCTACCCAAGTATAAGGGGTTACAGCTTTTCGTTTGCTTGATTTTTAACCTTCATACCCTTAACATCCCTTAGAGTACAGTCACAAAGTGGGTTTTTACAGAGTTGTCCAGTCACTGCTGGGCAGTGAGACAGTGTCTGTGACTGACGGAAAGTGCTAGCGTTAAGGAGGGGGCCTTCAGGAGGTGAGCAGGTCATGAGGATGGAGCTCTGGCAGGTGACTTTGCAGAGGGGAGACTGGCTTCCTTCCACCGTGGGAGGACACAGGAGTGGTGAGCACTCTGTAGCCCTCACCAGAAGCCAGCCATGCAGGTACCTGATCTAGGATTTTCAGCCCCCAGAACCGTGAGTAATAAATATTTGTTGCTTAAGTCCCTAGTTTAAGGGAATGTGTTGTGGCAAGCCAATATAAATAAGCCCATCATGTTGTCTTGGCCAACTAAAGTAAAACCCAAAAGATATAAATTCATTGAATCATGCTCCACCATGTTTATACGAACATTATTCACAATAGCCAAGATATGGAACCTACCATTGTATTCACCATCAGATGAAGGAAGAAAATGTGGCACATGCATGCACACACACACACACACACACACACACACACAGTGGAATAGTATTCAACTATAAAATAGAATGAAATCCTGTGTTTTGCAGCAAAATGAATGGTTCTGGAGGATATCATGTTGAATGAAACAAAACAGATACAGAAAGACAGAATTGCATGCTTTCCTTTACATGAAGGGGCTAAAGTTAAACACACACATACACATTCCTGAATCTGAACACAGAATGTTGATTCCTACAGGCTTGGAGGAGCAGAAGGAATAAGAGTTTGAATTAAAAAACTGGGGGAGATGGATGTAGTTTGTTATCTGTGAGATAACAATATAATATGGGATAATATGGGATGTCAATAGGGAAAATGGGGTGAGGGGTATATAAGAATTGATATTATCACTCAGTTTTTGCTTTGTAGGTTTAGAATTCAAAATAAAGGGAACATAATAAAGTGAAACTCATAATATCATAGATCAGCTAGTACTAATCCTGGTGTCCTAATTCTAAGAGCTATAACTACAATGTAGATACCTTCACATCAAATTTTATAATAACCTATAATATAACATAGGTTATACATGATATATAATGTTTACATATAATATAGATTGTGCAGCTTATATAATATGGTCAAATATATTATAATATGCTATATAACATAATAACCTTTTTTTTTTTAAATAACTAAAGAACCACAGTTAAGCAGGGAAGGCACAGCTCAACAGTAGATGCTACAAGACGAGGACCACGTCTTGCCCCAGCATGGTGAGTGCTAGGCGATGATAGTCAAATAAGTGAGCGATTAAGGGGATACCAGAAGAAGAACAATACACACAGAGAAAGAGTTCCCTCTAATGAAGCAATTACTGAATATCATTATCATCAGTCTATTTTATTCCACACTCACTGTTTCTTCTGGTTGAATAACGCTGCTACAATTAGCAGATTTTTCAAAGGTGACAACATCTTTACTGTGAAAACAACAGATAGCAGAGAAATAATTTTAGTAAGGCACCTGTGTCTGAGCACAAAACTGAAATTTCTTGTGTAGCGAGGTGTTTTGTTTGGGGTATAATAACCTTTATTGCAAAGCCCTCCTCCAAGATTCTATCCACAAATGGTGATGATCATGTGTTTGGGGTTTGACAAAATCCATTTCTGTAACTGGGACACCCAAGTATTTATTTATTTATTTTAAATATAGATTCCCTTCAGAAGCCAGGATATGATATAATCCCAGGTAGAACCCATTCTGAAGGAGAAGACTCATGGCAAAAAATAAACTCTTATTACTTTCTGATTGAGGTGGCGGTGCTTTAAAAATGATCAGTGCGGAGATGATGGTCACCCCTGCATGGTGGAGGTGGCAGAGCACCTGCGCACAGTCAGGACAGGGCCACATGCTGCAGTTGACCACGTCTCCTGGACTTGTGTCTTAGAGTGGAAACACTGTCACAGGGACAGATTCAGCCCTAGCCATGTGGCATGTTTTTCTCCTCACATCATATTTTTAATTTCATTTTCCAAAAACTTTTAAAAAACCCTTCATATTTTCATTTTATAAAAAGGGGATTTATTTATCTTTATTGGAAAGGCAAATCAGATGTCCAGAATGAAGGAGTGATAGAAAGAGCTTCCAGCTGCTGGTTTGTTCCCCAGATGACTTCAATGGCCAGAGCGAAGCTGATCTGAAGCCAGGAGCCAGGAGTTTCTTCCAGGTCTCCCATAAGGATGCAGGAAGGATGTGTTGAGCCATCCTCAACTGCTTTCTCAGGCCACAAGCAGGGAGCTGGATGGGAAGTGGAGCAGCCAGGGCACAAATCAGCACCCATATCGGATCCTGGTACTTGCAAAGTAAAAGTTTAACCATTGAGTCATTGTGCTGGGCTCCATATTTTCACTTTTTAAATATATTTAGTTATTCATTTGGAAACTGGAGAGAGAAACATAGAAATCTCTGATCCTTAAGATTACTCACCAAATAGCTGGGTCAGGCTGGACCCAAGAGCAGGTAGAATTCCCTCACATGGTATGGGATGCAGTTGTCCTGGGTGGCAACCTACCCTGTGGGTCACAGTGCCCACCTCAAAGACAAAGAATGTGCTATGGGCAGGGCTGTGTCCTCACAGGTTGAAACCAGCTCCTGTGTCTGGATTGAGGATCTTCCAGGAAATAGTAAGATGAAATGAAGTTCTTAGAGTGAGGCTTTGATCTGATAGGCCTGGTGTCCTTCGACGAAAAGGAAGAGACACCAGAAAATCTGCTCTCGCTTTCTCTGTGTGTGTCTTTCTGCACGTCACAGAGGATGATTGCATGAGGACAGAGGTGGCGGCCCTGTGAAAAGCCAGCAAGGGAGCCCTCACCGGAAACCCAACTTTCCAGCACTCCCATCCTTCAGAAGGGCTCCCATCCTTCAGAGTGTTTGTGGCTGGAGCTGCTCAGTCTGTAGCATTTGGTGATGGCAGCCTCAGCTAACGTGTTCTGGTGCCTCACTTGACAGCTTTGGTGACTGTGATAAGGTGAAACTTACAAGCAGCTCATTGCCACGGGTTCTGGGATGTGATGGCAATCAAAAACGTACAGACAAAAACCTAATAAGCGAAACCTGAAGTAAGGCTCAGAGGGATGTATCAGGACAGAAACTTCATTAAAGAAAGAATTCATGGTAAAGGAATCTAGTCAGAAAATGCAATTGTCATCCTGAATAAATGTCTTAAAAAGGAGGGCGAGCAATTTCTCCATCACCCTAACTTATGTCAACATGCTCATCAGAGTATGTTCTCTTGGAAAAATGAATGCAGGACCACAATATGAATATGTGCAGCTACGCTTGTATATCCACCCATCTCGCCACTCACCCACCCATTTCTCATCCAATCATCAAGCACTTCTTATCCAGCACCAACTATATGGCAGGCATTGCGCTGGTCCCTGGAGGATACGGCAGTGACCAAGGGTGACATGTCTGTCTGCACAGGAGTGGGGCCTATACAGGAGAGAAAATGTTAAACCAGTAACTGTGAAGGCTGTGACAGCTGAAGTATAGAGTACTATGGGAATGTATATTGGGGGGCTGTCTGTTCAACAGTTCACGTGTCTGTCAACCGGCAGTTTGGTAAGTTCGGGGGAGTTAGTCTTGTGAGTAGAGAGACTGATTTGGGGCTTATCAGAACATCACACACACAGAGCAATTATTAAATTCTTTCAGTGATGATAGAAGTCCACACCGGGCATTCCTTTGGTGGCTACAAGGCCTGGCTTCAGACTTAAAAGCAAGACAAGAAAAACATTCAACCTTATCACTCGCTTCTGTCTCACAACCCTGCCCCTGCAGCTGTGGAGAAGCGTGTGCTGCTTGTCACGACCGAAAGAAATGCTCATATACCCGAGGAATGTGCTAGCAATGACCATGAGGGTTGAAATGTCACTCTCAATAGAGAAAGGTCATCAAAGACTCACTCATATACTATTAGATGGAACATAAAGACTCATTAGCAAGGTATGAGAGATTTCTCTGCAACACCCCCCAAAATCGTTACACACCTCAATTGAGGAGGTGACATTGAAATAGTTGTAGAAGGTAATCAAGAACTTACATGTAGTGTTAACATATTGTCTACTCAATACTATGTCAGATATCTAATGTTTGCCTGGATTTAACCTGTAATTTACGCTTGGTTGATTGTTACTCTTTGAACCTGTCACAGATACTGTCTAAACCCAGAGATGTGGATATTGTTCACTCAACACTATACCAACTAATCCCATAACATTGTATAGCGACGCTGATGTTTTGTTGGGGGTCTTAACTGACCGGAACTTTACTCTGTTAGCTCTACCTTCAGACCAGAGAAGGTCTCCCCAAGAGGCCACTGAACTTATCTGGACAATAAGATGCTGGACTTTATGCTAGGAACATGCTTACAATGGAAGAATTTCAACTGAAGTTGAACTGTGGTTATGCAGCAAGATGGAGCAATCCACTATGGGAGAAGGGGTATGGGAGGGGTGGGGGGACTCCCCAGTGCTTATAAAACTGTATCACATAATACAACGTTAATAATAAAAAAAAAAAGAAATGTCACTCTCAGGTTCCTGTCATGGATTCAGAGTCAAATATGGGTTTATCTTCCCCCCTCAAAGGAGGTCGGCCTGGTCCTCCTCAACTTTAAAGACTGAAGGGAGCTGCCCACCACATGGTGGTTCACGAGTGCCACAAATCCTCCCTGGGAGAGCTTAACCACTTTTCAATATTTAATTAGGGAGATTTCCTGAATAGCAACAACAGTGGTGGGAAAGAGGAAATATTTCAACCTCGTAGAGAGATGGAATCACCTAATTAAAAAGTTCCAGTCTCCTTCTGGCCAGACAGACAGCCAAAGAGAATGGCTCCGACCCTGGGTCAACATGTGGATTTAGTGAGATCACTTTTATTTGTTTTCAAAAATATCCTGCTTGCAGAGGTCTCTTCTGTAAGCCAAGAGCCACTATATTTTACCTGAGACAGGAAAATGAAGAGGAGGTGACCATGAAGTTGGACTGCAAGGCAGGTGCACAGAGTTGCAGCAAGGAGGGAATTCGGGGAGGTCCCACTCAAGGGCGTTGGCATCCCCAGGAGCTGGCAGATGTGGCCAAGTGAACATTGTAAGCAACGGCTGCACTTAACTTGGCATTCAAGGCTGGGCTAGAAGGTGAGACTGTGGCAGACGAGTGCGTCACCCTCCCAACACTGGAGTTTACCACCCAAGTGGAGGAACAATGAGGCTGACACCAGAACGGGCCTGGAGGTGGCAGGTCCAGGCTGCCAGCCAAGATGGCCTTGTGCCTTTGGGCTCACCGCTCCCAGCATCATTTCCCTAGTTTGGTTCTGAGTCAGGTTTTGGGGCTGCTTACTAGGGCTGTGATCAAAAGCATAGTCATTGCTAAGCTATGGCTCCTGTGAAACCACCCGCGGCGTCCGGAGCTGGCCTCCTCACCGTGAAGGAAGTCTTAAAGGGGGTGGGTCCTCTGCCCTCTCTCTGAGGACTGAGCTGTTGGAGCCCTGCCCAATCAGGAAGGCACAGGAAGACGAACCAAAGCCTGTGGCGCCCCAGTGACCTTGAGTCAAGTTCATCCTATGAGATCATTGGCATGCTTTAGATGCTGACCCTCAGTGGCTACCCCAAGGGATACAAGCCAGGCCAGGCCTAGCACATGAGCATTTCAAAACCACTTGGGGAAAGGCAAGTGGAGGGAGGGGAGCAGACAGAAAAGAGATGGAAGGGAAGCAACAACCACGCTGTGGATTCTTGTAGATTTATAGACGCAGTATCTTTGACTAGCTGTGTAGCTCTGTGGCCACATTTCAGGCTTGAGCAAGTGGCTTGATTCTTGGACGATGGAGGGGAGGGAACAATTTCTCCCCCTAACAAGGGGTGGTGATGAGCCCTCCCTTGAGAACTTTCCCAACCCCTGATGCCCACAGGTTTCACCAGCGTGTGGACTCAGAGTTCCTCCAGGGCTGGCACTGTTTGTGGGCCACCCACAGGGAGGTAGGAGGAAGGTCTGTTTTTTTCTGGGCACCAGCAAAATGGCCACTCCACTCAGATACAACATGAGAACTATATGATGTTTTTCAGTTTTTCAAATCCATGTGGCTACAGAAGAATTGGGATTCAAGAGGACTGAGATACAACCACATTTCATACTATGAATCTTTAAAAATAATGTTCTTTAACCATTAAGTCTTTGGGATGTGGTGATAGTCCAAAATGCTTTTTGGCATGTGACTTCCTTTTAATTGAATAATAATTTGCATTTGCATTCTCAGGTTTTGACATCATTTGTTATTAATCCAGACTTTTGTTTACATCAGTTTGGTCTCGTAATTTGCCCTGGAAAAACCACTCTAACCACAAGGAAACATTTAGAAGGTAAGAGGATAAAAATGTAATAAAACCTAATTCATGCTCCATACTTGTTCTGAA